CTGGGGTTGTCTGATGCCAGAAGTAAAATTAACGAGAAATTATGCGCCAAAAGTTAGTGTCTACCAAAGCTTGAGAGTCCTTGGACACTACAAATTTTCATTTTTGGGGGGTGATTTTGATCAAACCTTTTTCAGTAAAATCTACAGAGAAATTTGTTTTTAAATGGACATAAAAAGTATTGAGCCAAAAATGTTCTACAAAAATTGTCAAATGGGCAAAAAATGCAGGTTACTTAGACTTCGCTTAGTTTTAGTTTTAGTAAATTTTACGGCACTTGCAACACTATGAGGTCATATGAGTGCCGAATATTAGAGGTGTTATAAGAGTAACAAACACAAAAAAAGGAGGGGAGACCGAGAACATATATTTTTTATAGGAAAGAAGGAGCAAACCACACCAGAGCACCCACCAACCACCCACACTTAGACTTCATTATTTCGACGAGTGTCTGATTTCACCACGATGCCACAAATATCTTACATCAGTACACATGTTTCTAACAGATATCAAATGCACAGCTGTAGGCCTTCTTGGGACCAGACGGCTCATTGATCATATTCCTGTCACCATGGCAATAAAACCCAGCCCATCCTAGTAGTAATCCCAGCTCTGTCATGCCCCATGTACGCACACATTTTCATGCATTTGGACAAATACACACAGAATATGACTGGAGGACTACAGATATTTCTGCAAATCAATGGCTCAATGTAAGATTCCATCATTCGTCGCTTTTTCAAGTGGCGTACGCCGGAGTTTCACACTGAGCAATCAGTAGAAAATCAAGTTTTCTTCTTTTAGAGTTGCTTAACTAATTTGATGTTCATGTACTCATTTTTATACTGCTCTATGTCTTTTTCAATTGCTGTTGAGTTTTGTGAAATTTACACCTGTCTTCAACTTCTATTAAAATGCTATCAAATATACCTGGCTTTTCTTCGTGTGATTATTTTTAGCTAGACACGAGAAAGACATCTCTTTATACTTTATGCAGTTCTGGCTAACCCCTGTATATGGCTATTATGGTTGGACAACTACTGTAGAACAGAAAGTGAAAATAAACTAGGGTAGAGGCAACTGAAATGTGTTTTTTAAGAGAATGTTGAGAACTTTAAGACAGGAAAAGAAATCAAATGTGGTAGTGCTGACAGAAGCCAGTTTGAGATGCTCACTAATAGCAACAATAAGGGAGAGACAAATGCAGTTCCTTGGGCACTTGAGTCACAACATAAAGACTACTTAAACATCTTACTGAAAAATAAAAGGTAAAAAGAACACGAGGTAGACAAAGACTAACTTACTGTGATAAATTTTTGTTTCTTTCTTTGCTTCTTTTAGTTTAGTAGGGAGTTTTACAGTACATGCAACATAAATAGGTCATACAAGTACCGAATAGTAGAAATGTTACAAGAGAGTAACATAAAAAGAAAAGAAAAAAGGAGAGATAAGGATGACAGATGTTTGATGGGAAAAAGGAGCAAACCACACCAGAGCACTTGTCAACCTCCCATTATGTCAGCAGGATTTGAAATTGAACCCATCATGAATTTCAGATCAAATTATAGGACTACAGAGTGGATGGCCCTGGTTCGAATCCCCAACAGAGCATTCTTAAACTTTATTCAATTAGTGGAGTTTTCAAGGCTCTCAATCTATTTGGCTCGGTCCTATCGGAGACGGGTGTTGAATTCGAAGGTCTTGCTTCTTTAAAAAACTAACAGTGTTTAAACAACTGTCAAAACCATACACTTACTTTTCTTTTTTACTGGTATTTTCCACAAGAAAGTTACAAAAAATTCACTGCATTAATTGAACTAAACCATTTACATGGAAAGACATTTTAATTTTAAATCACTAACAACACATTACGTCCCATGAAACAGGAGGGACAGTGCACACACACAAATTACATTGAAAAATGCCAACTGAGAAGAAACTTTCAAAAACCATTTATTTACACATGTTGGGAGAGAATGCACTTACAAGCATATTTACACATTTTAAACATCAAAATATCAATGCTGTGATGATAAAATACAAACCTTGTCAATGAGAAAACTGAACAGTACGTCTCAGACATTGTGTGATAACGCATTATAAAACTTCATGACCATTGATGAGAAAATACAAAATCTTCAACACCTCAAAATGTATCCTATCTTAGATAAGAGTAATAGACTGCTTCACGATCACACCATGGTTTTACGACTCCCAAATTGTTCATCACAAGGTCAGACACACACTGTTCAACACACTCATGCTCCGACCAAGCGCAGCCAGCTCACAATACAGTCATATTATCTTTTCAATATGACAGGCTTTTGACTTTCCCATTATGTCTTATGATTCACTCATACAACAAAAACTGCTTAATAATGCCACAAAGCTATGACTCATGATTTGATAAAATGAACTTTCAAGAAATAAAAAGGGTGGTAAGGGTTTAGATTGTCAAGGACATGTCCAACATGCAGAAAGCTCAAACGAAATTTTCAACTACTGACTGTAGAAAATTACATTGGGGTCCCCAAATTGGAAACACAAACACAGGCACTGAGTGCAAAAGCAACAAAATTTATATCCATAAAAATAGTTGACCACTTTTTGATGTCTTAGTCTCGTGGTTGAGGCATCAAACTCATAATCATAGGATCAGGTGTTTGGTTTCCTGCAGACCTGGTTACAATACTGCATCCTTTGAAAAGGTAATTTAGCTTATTTGTCTGTTAATCCAGCAAATGAACTCTGGACAAAGACATAAAATCTAAATGATAGCCGTTAATTGCTTACGGGCTGCACGATTGTACAGTCCCTGCGGACTGAGAGAGTAAATTGGAATAAACAGTACAGCATAAAATCATGTGAGCAAGCCTTCAATTTGTAAGGAAAAAGACTTCAAAATAGTCCCATAAATTTAACTGAAGATAAGAAGTGGTGATCTGTGATAACACTTTTTGATGTCAGTGAATCCAGAGGAATTGTCAGTATTTTTGTGACAATGAGTGAAAACCTATATTATCGGATTTCATAGCCCTCTCAACAAAAGCTGATGATGTTTCCAAAGAGTGAACACAACCTGTATGGCAGTATAATGCCATCCCAAATAGCTCACTGCACATTTTGCTGCTGTTCTTAGTTCAATTGATAAGTCCAAAATAAGGATATGCGGCAGGGAAGTGACATCAGAAGATAAAAATAGTAGCAGTGAAGAATAAAGCAAAACATTTGTTTTGAGGACAGACATAATAGATGAGCATCACTAGCATACAGCATGTGTCAATGGCAGGGGATGGTGACACTCTCTGACTTGTCCGACGTCACCTCATGACAGGTTATGTGCAGGTCGCCTTCCCTGATGGGTGAGTCAGGCAGAGGGGAAGAGAAAAACATTCAATTAGTAACTGTGTGGACAGTTTATTTGTTTGTTTTGATGTTTTATGGCACCTGCAACACAAAAAGGTTATATAAGAGCCGAAGATTAGAGGGGTTACAAGAGAGTAACAAACACAAAAAAGAAGGAGGGGAGAAAAGGACGATAGGTGCTTGATAGAAAGAAAAGAAAAAAACAAACCACACCAGAGCACCTGCCAACCACCCACCTGTGGGTTCTGTCTTAATGAAAAAGTGAAAGAAGTGAATAAGAAATGAAGAGGCATATGAACTAGTATAGATAATAGCAGAAACTCAGAAATTTTTTTAAAAGGAGGAAATCCACGCAAAGGCGTACGCGCGCTCTTCAAAGGCCAGAGAAAAACCATCAGTGAGATCCAGAAGCAATATTTTGGAACATATCTCTATGTTTTAGGAAGGGTAAAGTGTTATATATATTTGTTAACTATACTGAATTAAAGTGTATTTGAAAAAAACCAATACACTAACAGGCAGGTTGATGACTAAAAATCCAGTGTTTATAGCAAGCTGGAGTCTCATAAAAAGATTTCTTTTACTTTCGACATGTGCAACGACGTAGAGCAGTATTGGATTAAGGAGGCAACACCTTTGCCACTGTACAAAATTTCTTTATCGCACCAAACACAAAGTGCAGCACTCGGCTTGTTCAATTTTCTAAATCTAATGAACTGTTGAAGAGGCACACTGTCTGATTCTTTCTCAATCCAGCTCCATTCATTTTTGCATTCTCAGGGTGTCCAGCAATATTTCCTGAAAAAATTTAATACCTGGAAAAAAATTTACTACCCAGCAAATCAAGCCCCACACCAGCTCGAAGAAGGGAGTTCATTTGCACCATCAGTAACACAATATTGCATAATATATAAAACGAAAACAACACACAACGAAGTCCAGTCGACAAAATGGAGGACAGACAGGCAATCGCACGCTTGCTTGCCATTAGATTTAGTTTTAGTAAGGTTTTTACGGCGCTCGCAACTGCATAAGGTTATATGAGCACAAAGGGGTGGATGTCAACAGAGAAGTCCAAACGGGGAATCAAGCTTACTCCTGCTCACCTCTCTAGCCTCAACAGCACAAAGTCTGCTTCCAGGACTCTCGTGGCCGAGAGGTAAAGGTGTTCGCCTCTCATTCAAAGGTCCCGGGTTCAAATCCGGGTAGCGACAGAAAAATTTTCTTCTCTAAAATTGTCTCCATCCACCTCCTTTCCTGCTCTCAAGCAATGTTCTGTCATCTGCTTTCGTCTCCTCCTTTGCCACTCCTCTGAGCTCCTGACTCTTTCTGCCACTCCTTGGCTACTTCTTACTGCTGTCATTCAGCCACACCCCTGATCTTCTGGTAGGAAAGATCGACACCTACCTAGCCTTTTCGGAAAAGGGCGAAAAATTTCGAGGTCCCGTGTGCAAGTAGCGCACGCTTAAGATCCATTGGTGGCCTAAAATCGATAAGAGTAGGCTTCGGCCGCGACCCAAAATTCAAAATTTCCTACCAGTCTTGAACAGAAAGCTACAATACAGTTATAATTCACTATCACCCATCCAATGAACGCAAACACTTTAGTTCAATAACACGGATTACAAGGTATAAAGGGTCCTGATTCCACACACGGTCTGCACCAATACGCGCTTTACAGAGAGCTCTAAATCAAAATTATGAAATTTGCTTCCAAGTTTTTGTCCTCATGTGTTGCCTTCAGCACCCCCCCAAGTGTATCTTTTTTTTTTTAAAATCAATAATCCCCAGCCCCATTCCATAGTCCTATACTTCGCAACCCTCAGACTTTGAATGAACTTTGGCGACTCAACAAACGCCGGTGCTCACACGATGCCATAGCCTATCTTGCGATGGGAACGCATGCAGGTTCACTGACTTGTCCCGATGGCGAGCCCGACAATCTAAAATTCTGCATGTCACAAAATAATTTTGCGTTATCAGTCAATCGGTGGCAAATTTTTAAGCGATAACGAAAGCAAAAGTAGATATTGATTTTCCCGATCAAGCTTTGGTGTCACATACACTTCCGCCTGCCGCCTTAGCCACCTGTTTGCGTGAAACGTACTCTCGAAAGGGGAAAAGCTAAACAAATATTACAATCGCGACCGGTAAAATAGTACTGAATGACCATACCGGATTTGGTTTTCAAATATTCGAGTTCCGCGATACTGATATTACTCAAAGATCATTGTATTAGATCTACTTTGACAAAAGATGGGACTTAGTAATCGCTGAGTACCGCGGCTATGACTCCGTTCACTGAAAAGTCATGCTGGCTCCATCACTCTGTATGCAGGTTAATTTACGACCGTTTACCAAATGTTTACTACCTTCAAGGCACATTTACTACCATTTACGACCTCGCTGGACACCACGATTCTGCATCAATTTTTCTTGAATTTCCGCCATTTTCAAAGACAACTTGGTGCACCATTGTTCCGATGCTAAATCGACAGTTGACACTGCCACTCGGCTCCACAATAAATAATGTGAACCTTTAGTGCAAGACACAGAACGGAAGTATGAAGCAACGAGTAGACATGCACAAACTGTGTTTTCGTCTCACGCCCGGTTCAATGTTTTCCGCATGTAAAAAAAAGTATCGCAATTTGCTACTGAGAGTGGTCCAGAGGAAAAAGGGGAAAAGTAGCGGGAAAAGCTAGATAAAGCGGAGGTAGCGGAGTTTCCGCTATTTAGAGGAAAAGTGGCAGCTATGATATATACATATTACAAATACAAGAAACATAGGAAATACAAACAGGTACAATAGATAAAAGTCTGTAAATCTGTCCCACACTAACCAACTTTAGCACCTGAATGTGGGGCTCCAGATATAGAAAAGGCTTTGCAACTTCCACCAAATTCTTCAGAGCATAAAAAGCCAAATAAATATTGTTTTGAGTTGAGTAAAAAGAAGCATATTGGCACATTAATGGTCATACAGTGCAGGGAAAAAGCAAGACAGACAGACAGACAGACAGAAACAACATAGGAAAAGAAAAGAAGTAGGATCTACAATAGGCAAAAAGGCAAGCCTGTCACGGTATGGCCCAAACACAATACAGTGGAACCCTGTTATAACGAGAGGGAGGGGAGTAGTGCAAAATGTCCCGGAATGTCCGTATAGCAGGATTCTCGTAATAAATTCAAGTGAAATAATAAAGTAGGCAATATATGAGTTTGGTGTTCTGTTTATTTCTCTTTGTTATCTCTTTCTCTGATGATTTTGTTCAACATGACCTCTAGGTCTTACCATAGCTGCCACTCAGGAATTTAAAAAAAGGAGGAAATTCATGCGAAGGCGGAAGCGCGCTCTCCGAAGGCCGGAGTAAAACCAGTGAGATCCAGAGGCAATATACTGGTTTTGAAAGGGAAAACTGTCATATTTGTTTATCATAGGCAACTGAATTAAAATGTATTTGGGGGACCCCCCCCCCAAAAAAAAAAAAAAAAAGGCACTAAGTAGACTAACAATAACAAACATTTGAGTCAATTAGACACAATTTGGACTTGGTGACTAAAATTCCAGTTTTTGTTGCAAGCTGGTGTCTTATAAAAAGATTTCTTTCACTTTAAACTTGTACATCGATGTACAGCGTGGGCAGTATTGGAACAAGGAGGCAACACCTTTGCCGCTGTACTGAGCACTCCTGTACAATTGCGGTCCCGTTTGCACTTACAACTTAGTAGATCTAGATCTAGTCCCTCTGTAGTGTGTAGATCTAACCTGAATTAAAACTATAGCCTAGGCTATCTAATCTAGATCTAGATATCTAAATATGTGTAAATCTAGATTATATCTAGAGATAGATTATCTAGATCTCAAAATGTCCTTATCTAGATCTAGATTCACTTCAACAGCCACAATAGCCGTCGGCGTCATGTAAACAAACGGGACCGCAATTGTACAGGAGTGCTGCGGCCGCGATTTCTTTATCGCACCAAACGCAAAGTACAGCAAGCGGCTTGTTCAATTTTCTAATGAACTTTTCAAGTCGCACACCGGCTGCTTCTTTCTCATTCCAGCTCCTTTTATTTTTGCATTCTGCATCAATTTCTCTCGAATTTCCACCGTTTTCAATGACAACTCGGCGCGCCAATGTCCCGATGCCCGATCGACACTTTGTTGCTCCACAATAAACAAAGTGAAACTAGCGCTGGGCCTAGAAGAACGGAAGCAGAAAGCTACGGGCGGACATGCGCAAGCTGCATTTTCGTCTCTCTCCCGGTTCGGTGTTTTTCGCACGTAAAAAAGTATCGCAATTTGCGACTGAGAGCGGTCCAGCGGAGGAAGGAGGAAAGTAGCGGGAAAAGCTAGATGAAGCGGAGTTTCCGCTATTTAGCGGGAAAGTGGCAGCTATGCTTACTTGATCAAAAATCGAATCGGGTTTCTTTCTCTAGCGCTAGCGATGTTGATAGCTCGGCGTTGGCAATCAGAAAGAAAGGGCTCTAGGTTAACTCGCCCACTGTGTTGTCCCCCACCCCACCACACCCTTTGGTGCGTCCCATCTGCTTGTGCACGTCACACATTCACTCCATCCATCATAGCACTGTGACCTCTCAATCCCCGTATCGGAGAAGTGAGAGACAAGGTAGGCTAATCTAGACTAGGCTGGCCTATCACACGATGTGATCTGCACGTCTGCACATGCCACTCCCTCCCCACTCATTGTGGGCTCTCCCATTCTTTGTTTCCCTAGATCACCAACAAGTTTCTCAACTGGCGAGGTTTTACATGAAAATGGCCTATGCGCTGTGCACAGCAGCAGCAATATTCCACTATAACCGACTCGCGTTTTCGTCTGATAGCGCTATAGCAGTATTTTATTTACAAAGGTAAAGAAAGGGAAAAAAATGGGGTTTTAGAAAAGTGTCTTTATAATAGACTTCTCATTATTTCAGGACTCGTTATTTGGACTTCACTGTAACATAAAATGCAAGAAATGATGACAGAAATGACCGCAGGAAAATTCAGGAAAAGAGCATAAAAATAACAGGAATATGACAGAAACAGACACAATGCTGGCAAGATGCCATAGTGAAATCACAAATTTCTGTGTTATACCTTTTCAGGTGGAAATTGGACTTGATAGTGGAGCCTGGAGGTAAATCACGGAGTACCAGCTGGGGAAATAAAGTCATAAAATCACATGACAGGTGTACTGTGGGGACATGACAGGTGTACTGTGGGGACTACATTCACATGCAATGTTGTTCCCAACCGAACAGTGTATACTGTACATTCTCAATAACAGCATAAATAGTAACACACCCCCCCCTTTAAAAACAGTTGGCTACTTGTGGGGGGGGGGGGGGGGAGATTTATTACGCCATAAGCTTGTGAGACTTGAAACGCATCTCAGACTTGCATAAAGAGGATCCAGGTTTTCTTGAACAAGTGTCCTAAGAAGTTACTGAGGATCAGATGACAGACAGGGTCGCCAACGTGGAAGTATTAAGAAGAACGAGACAGATCTCAGTCAGAGATGCGGTGGGAAGAAGGCGTTGGCGATGGATTGGACACACTCTCAGGAAGGCAAGCAGATGCATAACAAAGAAAGTGTTAGATTGGAACCCACAGGGTAAAGGATCAAGGGGAAGACAACTGGGAACTTGGAGAAGTCACAGAAATGGATGTACGGAAAAGTGGGAAGACATGGCGTGACATCAAGTCACTAGCTCAGGATAGGGAAATGTGGAAAGTGTTTGTCTGTGGCCTATATCCTGATCCAGGGTGAGAAAGGCAATGATGATGATTATGATGAATCCAGAAGCAGGAGGGGAAAAAATCTTTTTGTACAAATGGTAGATACACCAAAATAAAGTTCAGAATCTCAGCCACACGTGGTGGCTTACTTTGATTTTTTACATAGACTGTAACAAGCCACATAGAATCACCAACGTCAGACTGAATGCAGGCCTCTACATCAGCATCATTATCATTACTAAAGATTAGCTAGGTAGTCTTTTCTCATGTCTGGGTGACTATATACAGATTAGTTAGTTTATAAATGTATGTCTGTCAACATACATCAATCACTTTAAAAAAGTATGCCTGCCAACATCTTTCTCACATATCTCTCCTTCGTTCACTACTTTAGCCAGAAGTTAAGCAGTCATTAGAACTGACAGCTCATCAACCTTGGAGAACATAATCTGACACACACATCTATGTTTGTTTTTTCTGTTTTAGAAAGAGTTTTACGGTGCTCGCAACGGCATAAGGCCATATGCGACTATGCCCATGTGTAAGTTCATATGCCTTTGCCTCTCCCCACCTTAGCAAGAAGCTGGGCAGTCTCCAGTGTAGCTGGCTCATCTGCCTGGAAGATCTCCATTGATGCGCACGTCTGTGCTGCTGGCAGAGTGAGGGTGTGCTGTCTGCGAGCTGGGGCCAACGCGTGCTGAGGAAGGACTACCTCCAGCTCCTCAGCACTCAGCTGTCAGAAAAAAATACGTTGAAGAATTTAATGAGCATAGTGGTAAGCTCTACAAAATTCAAGATTGCCAACTTTTTCAGAACTCAGTCACAGGCAGAGACATCTAACGTGATAACACGAGATTAAGTAAAACAATGACAATTACATAATGTGGAACTGATTTTGGTGTAGTGTATGTGATGTCTTCTCAAACTCCCAATTGCCGAATCCAGAACAGTCCAGGAAAATTCGGGACAGTTGGCAAGCCTGTATATAGGTCTGCTGAAACATCATGTGAAGAGACATTTATGCAAATTACAAACTATTTCCATCAGTGAGGGAGGGAGAGAGAAAGAGAGAGAGAGAGCAAAGTCAAAGAATGATGGAGACGGCCATGGAGAAGTCACCTGCGGCGTCAGAGGAAAAAATTACCCATTACCCAGAGAACATCAATACAACGGCTGTAAGCACAGTGCTATCCAGACACAGCCATTCACATAGGTAGCGTAAACACGGCCTCGCGGGCACTCGCAGCCTTCCGACCGCGTGGTATCGGTAAAATCGGGGTAATTCCGATCGCTGTTTCTTTGCTCTTTCGCTATAAAACACCAAATGCCGTACACCTTGTAAAAGTTCAGCTTTTCCTCGTTACAATGGTGTTAGTTGTTTTTATGTCCGATTAGTAGGAGCTGGAGAATCGCCGACGAAAGCGAAGCCCCTCGCGGTCGGAATGCGTGGTCGGCCGGTTGAAAAATTGACACAGGTGCATTCAAATGCTTCGCGGAACGAGGAATGATTAAATACCGTCTTTTCATTGGCGGAGAACTGTAGAGCTTTAAACAGGCTTTCCCGTGGTATATGTTTTGCCTTTGGCGTCTAAATAGAAAGCTTTTAAAAATACTGTCAAAATGTTTAAAGATCACTTTTTACCCATAATATGTAAAAAACTGGCCAAAAAAATAAATGTAATAAAAGATCAGCTTATTTTCTATTAGAATAAAGTAATTAGCTTGGAATTATTTTTCATCAATCCTTCCGCGAGACTCAGAAAGCATGTGACCCCCGCACGCGGGGTACACTACAGTATAGAGCCGACTCGCTCGCCACGGGGCCCGGTGCAGCGCCGGCCGGGTCAACGCTCGGTGTTTTTGTTGAAATAACGACAGATCATCGTGTTTGAGGCGATAAAATACTGATTTGTAATGATCTCACAGTCTTGAAAAAAATTAGGCTCCATATATTTGTTATAGTGATTGTACTCTGTTAATGTGGAGATGTTTGGTGCACTTGGTACTCTTTTATTGTCTGTCAAACATGGGGTTGCAGCCAGTGACTGACTTTAACAAATTTGATCAAATTTTAAACAACTACCATTTTCTTTAAAATTGACTGAGAGGTTAAAGAATGGTAACAAAATGCTCAGTGGATATAGGCCTTTCAAATGGAACTGATAAATTTGGCATACAGCTACTTTGAAAATTTAGTTTCTGGTACCTAATTCACATGTACAAGAAGGGCCACTGAATGGGGTAATGTCTTTTTCATCTACCTAATAGCTCTTCAGATTTAGAATAAAACTTCAAGTCTTCTACCTCACTTATTTACTTGTTTGTTTTAATAAGTGTTTTACGGCACTTGCAAAACAATAAGGTTATATAAGTGCCAAAGATTAGAGGTGTTACAAGAGAGTAAAAAAACATAAAGACGATAGATGTTTGATAGGAAAGAAGAAGCAAACCACACCAGAGCATCTGCCAACCAGCCACTCACTTATTTAGAAACAGTGTTAAGTCCACATCTAAATTAAATTGATCATCCCTTGATATTACTAATCATATTTTAGTTCTCGTTTACAAGAAATATAATTTAAGTGCACCAACTCAAACCAAATCAGCATAGTATTTCCACCACCGGCTCACCTTGAGGCACACAGACTTTGGTAAGAACTTGAACATGACCTTGGACTGCTGGTCCACTGAAACATTCTCACTGCCATCTCCCACTAACAAGGCAGCCTGCATGTACAATGGAAACACTTTATATAAAACAGGTGTCAGACAGAAAAGAAAACAAACATTTGATTTTAAAAAAAGGTGATTCTGTGCTGAAAAGAAGTCTGAAAGAGATTCTAGCTAGCAGTGATGTGCTTCAACTGCCCCAAAACAAGACCAAGATCAGGAAACACTGTAGAGTTGTAGTTTACTGCAAATCAGAACAACAATGTCCACATTTTGAAAGGGACATGGCATTCTTGGTTTAGTGGTTAGGCTAGCGGACTAACAATTATGAGGTGGTGAGTTTGGGGGTTCGAGCCTCAGGCCCAACGTTTTGTCCTTTGTAAAGGCACTTTACACTTACTTTCCTCACTTCACCAAGGTGGGAACAGGTACCCAGCCATAGACAGCAGATCTTGTTAGTATGTTAGTGTTTGTTTTAGCGCTTTAAAAATAGAGGCTTGCACTGTTTGCTTCCCAGGAAGTTAAGATTGTTTCAGAATGCTATCGCGTTTGCTGGGGTAATAGCACAGATAGTAAAGTGCAGAGAGCTTGCTGTTGAATGCGAATTTGCATTATACAAATGCCACCTATTATTATTTTCATTATCATTATTAAAATAAGATACAAGATAACTTACACAAGAGAGACAAGAGTGCAAATCCACAAAATGCACCACATGGTCCAGGAAAGGAACAGAAAGAGGGCAAAAGAAGTACAACAGTCCATGGGAGAAAGTGACAAGAGACGGTTTAGCCTGAAAATTCTGTTGTTAGAGAACGGACAGCCTGAAAAGTTCATGGTAAATTCACACTGCCTGAAGGATGGGGTAGGCATCTCAATTTTCCAGGGGTGCCATCCATTTCCCAGGGGCATGTTACATACCAATGACAGCATGTGTGCTCCATTTAAATATAATACACACAAACACACACAACCAACATTATATATGTATCCAGTCAACAAAATTTCAGTGTGGAACTGAAGTCTTGTGTGACTTACGTATTTCAGTCTGTTTTTGCTTGTTATATATTTTCTTATTTATATTTCCCCCTCATCATTTTACATATATATATATATATATATATATATATATATATATATATATATAAAGTATATTATACAAATGAATCCTGCTTTGAGCCTGTGAAAGGGCCTAGAACCAGAAAATCAACTGTCAAGAGCCAGTCTTGGTATCATGATTCATATTATAAACGTGAAAGACACAAACTATTGCTCAAACTCAAAGTAAAGTAAAAACTTGAATGGCTCAAGTAGACCTATTCAGTGTGAGAGTTGAAAGAACTGAGAGAGGTCAAGATGTAGTGACACTGAAAATCTGCCAATCTTGAACAGAAAGCCAAAAAATATTTAGTTATAATTTACTATCACCCATCCAATGAAACGCAAGCACTTTAGTTCATCAATAACAAGGCTTACAAGATATGGCGGATCCCGATTCCACACACGGCCCGCACCAAAGCGCGCTTTGAACAAATTTTTTTTTAGTTATAAAATCTGCTTCCAAGTTTGTTGTTCTCTGGTGTTGCCTTCCGCACCCTCCCCACCGAGTGTAACTTAAAAAAAAAAATCAATAATATGACCCCCCCCTTACCCGAGTCCTATGCTTCCAAATGTTCAGACTTTGAACTAACTTTGGCGACCCTAACTGCCACTGATGCTCACACGCGCAGGTTCACAGACCGGTCACGATGACTGGCCCAACAAGCTGACAATCGGACGACACTTTTCTTTCTTCTTTCACAAGTGACAGCACAGAGACAAAATTTGATTTATTCTAATGGCGACACGGCGTTTATAGTGGACGACCTGCATGTCACAAATGTTGCGTTATCAGTCTATCACCGGCCAAGTTCTGGGTGGTAACGAAAGCGAAAGTAGATCTTGATATTCCCGATCGAGCCACTGTGTCACACTTTCCGCATGCCGCCATAGCCGCCTGTTCACGTAACACGTACTGTGGGACCGGGAAAAGCCGAACAAATATCACAATTGCGACCGGCAAAAATTGACTTACTGACCCTATCGGAATCTGTCTTCAAATATTCCAGAAATTTATATATTTTCCCGGGTCTTCCCGACTTTTTCGGGGGGTAATTTACAGATTTCCTCAAATTCCTGGGTCTCGGCGATTTTTATCTAATTCCCTGGGCCTGGCTAGTCACCCTGTTTTTATTGGGGGGGGTACCTAGTTTCTGACTCGTTTTTTCAGCTATCCGAATGTTTTGAATACTAGGTACCTATTTATTCGGGGGGTTTTCTATGAATAGTACCCAGCTCTACCGAAAGTACTGGTGTTGGTCATCAGCAGATTTTTTTTCTTTTGAACTGGAAATTTGTCGCACGCCAGCAAATAAAAATGACTGTCCCGTCGCCGGCTATAGAAGACTTGCCTGGCCAGTGTAGCCAGAGGGAGGCCGACGAATGAGTTCAAATAGCCATAAATTCCAGCAGGAGCCGGAAAACTTTCACCCCTGCAACAGTCGTGTAACACGGAAAGGGTCCTACTAACAGCACAACAGACAGCCGTCAGAAAAGCAGTTGACTCAACTCGTAAATTGTTTACAAATAAAACAATGCTTCAAGGACATATCACCGACAACAACCTCTCCCTGACTGCGTCACCCACCTCTTTTGCTGCACCAAGAGCGATGATCTCATCCTCAGGAATATTGTTCAGAATGGTGGATGAGGAGAAATAATCTCCAACAACTTTCTTCACCAAAGGAGTCTTGGCCCCACCCCCACAGATGATCACCTGAGGTAGACAGGGGAAGAAGTTAAACAATGATAAACTCAAAGACAGTAACCAGTAAAGACAATGAATAAGGCTAAAACACAGCTGGTTTGTCCATATCAGTAAAAAGGAGGTAAACCAAAGAAACCACTCAATTGAATGGAAAGTGGACAGGGAAGAGAGAGACGAAATGACAAACAAATATCATAACAAAACACACAAAAAATAAACCTGCTAAAAAGTAATGGTAATTCCCTGACTTCATGGCTTGTATGCCTCTGCAGAATCAAACTAAAATTTTCCTGCAATAATAAGCTACTACCATGCCTGTATGTTTCAACTGTCACCAACAAACATCTGAAACCTCAAAAAATGAGACCAACAAGATCAAAAACAATACAAGCAATTGGCATCTTAAATTTTAAATTTAAAAAGTGGCAAATCAAATCCTAAATGACACTTCCATGTGGATGACAGGCAAATTACCTTAGAGATATCTTCCTTTCCACATCCAGCCTGAGCCAAGGCCTGGTCAATCAGCTGAGTACACTTGGATATCAAAGGCAGACACAGACTGTCAAACCGCGCCCTGGAGCACAAAACAAAATGTTTTAAAAAACCTTTCTTTTTAGTGAGCCTCTTTTCCGCCTTCTGTGACAAACAAAATAAACAGTAGTTTCAGAACAAATACGAAGTTTTTCAAGAAGGACATAACTAATTACATTTTTTTTTCATAATAAAATAAGCCAAAGTCTTAACAATTTAACTGAAAAATCAATGATTTTAGAAAGTGTTGTTTAGTTTTATTTTTGTTGCAGCAAAAAGAGAGCGCCTTTTACAGTGGTGTTCAGTCAATAACACCAAAATATTGAGACTTTCAAAGGATACTCACAGTTTTGAAAAAATGTATCTGTGCTTACTGGAACACATTCCAGTTGTAATTTCCATATGCTACCATTAAATCAAGGTGATTGAAATGCGTGCAATTAATCAAAACCTGATATGAAATAATTCACGACTTCTTAGATTGGGGGCCTAGAACCTCTTCGATGGGTAACCTAGTTTCAATTAAACATTTATTTTTATTTTAAAAAAGAAAGCCCACCCTAAGCACTGCGCTTTTATGAAAAAAAAAACCCCAGCCAATAACACATCCATATCACCTGAGCAAAACAGCATGATGGATAAGTAACTTTTACAGATTGAGTCAAAAAACTACTAGACTTTTCTCAGCAAGTTTTGTATCTGACACTTTTCTGAACTCCGGATTTTGAGAAAACAATCAGTATGGATAGCATAAAGTCAGAAATTCTTAAAAATTGAGTTTGAAAACTTTAGTTGATTGTAACTGATCTTTTGAGAATGTGATGGTCATGTCGGCCTGTATAAGAACTTCATAATATTGCATATAAACTGACATTTACAACAATTCTGCATGTATAATACTTCCAAGTCTTTCATACTTAATTTCAACCAAACAACTAAATTATACAATATTTCAGTAATCTTCAACAGCTGAATCAGCATAGCCTTTTGCATCTGGACAGACAGTCTTAAATCTTATCCTAACAGCTGACTCAGTAATCCACTTGGTACCTTGACATGGTGTAATGGAAGTCACAGCCATCATAGAGCGAATCCACAGCGCACTGAGCGTGGATCATTGTGGTCAGCGAGTGTTTACAGCGTTCTGCAGCCAGACCAAGTTTGGTAACAGCACGCTTGTTTTCACGTAGGTCACTGCGGAATTGTCTGAAACACACAAGAACAATGGGACGAGATTACTAAGTATTAAAAAAACTAACTATTAAGAGGAAAAAAGACCAATCATCAATCAGATGAGTCTCAAGGTCTTTATTGCAGATCCAAGCAAAATATTCAGCTTCCCAATGGCAAGAGTAGACAAGAAGTTCAACAGTTATTCTTCTTTTCTAAAAACAAAAGAAGCAACCAGCATAAACGAGGAGGGGTCTCGTCATCATCAAAACTAGTGGGGAAATTTCAGCACAATAATCTATTTCCAGAACCCAGTTTAGATTCTCATTACACTTGGCTCAAAACTTAATTGTTGCATATCACTGACAATTTGGATTCTTTCCCAGTCAAAGGATTTTTTTTTATTGTGGTGACAATCTACGTTATCTATTACTTCTATAAGATAATTTTTAAATACACAAATCCAAAATTTTACCAGTAGATAGTAATTAAAGACAAATGTACCTTTTAAATTCTGTTGCAAGAAAATCTTGAAGAACTTTGGTGAACATGTTGGCTCCAAACTGGCTATCAGATATCGTGGACACACAGCGGAACATCCCGTGTTCAACTTCCATGACAGTTGCCTCGTGGGATGTGCCACCCAACCGATACACCACTGTTTTACTGCACATGAGAGGAAAAAAACAACAAAAAACATGAAGCAGGGTTGGATTTTCAACACCCAGCATTCAAAATTTTTGCGTTTGAAAAAAGAAATGTAGTTTTCAAAGAACTGAGATGGAAAAGACATAATATATTACAAGAAAACTTCGAAAACCAAAGATACATAAATAAAGATTCCTTAATAACGATTTCATCTTTGTTATTGTGTGTAGAAAAAATACAGCTACATCAACTACATATAGCATGACAAAACATTTAAGAAAAAATTAATTGACCAATAAAAGAACGATGTTAACAGACAACTCACAAGCGTTCTGTCTGGTCCAGTTGTCCTACATCAAACGCCAACATGGCTGCTGATGGTTCGTTGATTACTCGTAAAATGTTGAAGCCTGCTTTCTTGGCTAATGCACTGGGAATCAGACAATATTTGAGGTCAAAACCTAAAATATTTTGTAAATAAATAACATAGCCATGAGGAACAATAAATATCTAAGTTTTATGCTTTGGATAAATAAATGATCCAGGACTAAGCAAGGAAAACCTGTTTCTTCCCAAGTAAATTCAGCATCTACAACACTTTTCACCACCCTTGCTTTGCTGTGACATGCTGAACAAGCATAAAAACAATTTGTTATCACTTTGTCCCCTTCTCTAACCAGGTCACAAACATGAGCTTGCATGACATATACAATTATCCTCCATTCTCTTCCACAAGTCAATAGATCAATCAACACAACCTGTAAAAATGTATAAGAAAACAATTTACAATAGTTCAGAACAAAACAGTTCCTTGAGAACTTCCCTTTTTTATTCTTAACTGGTTTACTATAGTAGCTCTTGCACAGCTGTACACAAACTTCATAAAAATTTACATACATGTTTTCATAACCAGCTGCATAGCAGAAGATGTTTGGAGAAAGGGGATCAATGTTTTGCCATCAACCTAAACTTCACGTTCTTTACCAGAGCAACTACAGTCACAATAAAAACACTACAACTATTTCATCATAGTCTGTTGTTATTGATCCAGCAACCCAGAGGCAGATGGTTGGAGGATGCCATTGGAAGGTCCTCTTTCTTAACTTTCCCTCTGTTGGTTGTGCCTGTCTGTCTTACCCCAGCACTAAATGACCATCATTGTGTCGATGTGCTTCTCTTTAATCAAACAAACAAACAAGCAAGCAACCCAGAGACTTTCACCCTTTTCTTCAACACAGTGAAGAGATAACAGTGGGTATTACGAATCGTTATAATTTATGTTAATACTATCATTTCAGCACTAGATTGGAAATTCAGAGCAGGGTCAGTGCAGAACTGGCGTTCCAACAGGGAACCATTTACTGAAAGCCTGCCCAATGCTCGAGGTGCTTAGAAAAAAATATTGGCCCAACCCAAGATAGAGAAACTCAAAATTCTGTGGGGGCTTGGATGACCTGCAGCGAACAGCGGCCTTCATACTAGAGACTGGGATGTCTATTTAAAGATGATCGAGAAGATTTCAGTGCTAAATCACCATCTTTTGTCAAACAAACCCACTAATTACCTGACAATGGCCCTTTGAGTATCAGAGAACTCTGGTGGCACAGCAAGCACAGCGTCCTGGATGCCACTTCCTCCGTGGCTTTGGGCAGTTTCTGAAAACACAGAAAAAAGGCAGGACTGAAACATTGCTTCCCAAAAAGAACTTAACTTTTTCAATGTCGGTGGCCTAGCGGTTAGGCTAATGGACTCGTAATCGTGAGGTTGCGGGTTCAGGAGTTTGAGCAATAGACAGCGAAAGATCTTGTCAGAATGTTAGTGTTTTAGCGCCTTGTTTTAGAATGCTCTCAGGTCTGCTGGGGTAATAGTATAGATTGTGAAGCGCATAGAGCTTCTGCTGAGCGGGGATTTGCGCTATACAAGTACTATCTATTATTATTATTATGTGTATTCTGCAAGAACACCATGCCATGTAGTGCTGCATATAGTTTGTGTGCATAATGGGCCCCATCAGCACCATGAATGCATTGGGCAGATTGACAGTAGTATACACAGATTATGAGGTCAGAGAAGGGCAGGAATCAAGAATGAATGTACAGTCAAACCAGCTGTTTCTCCCCACCAGTTAAACAATAATAACAGAAAACTGGTAAACAAATCCATAATACTTTACCCACCAAGCAGTTTTGAGTAAATCATTTCCATGATGTCTGTGGGCATGTACCTCACAGTTCGGCCTTTGTGCTCCACTTCAAATGCTGGGCTTCCCCCTTGGTCCACCACCTGTTAGGGCCAGACAGGGAAATTTATTTGTTTTCATACAGGCCTAATGGAGTAACATTAGTCTTTATTCCATCTGACTATAAAGCAAAAAGAGAAAAGAACACTTAATAAGACTATACAATGTAGTTTTGTTAAAATAAATGGGTAATATCTAAGAGCAAGAGTTACTTTACTTTGAAAGTAGCTCCTAGTTGATGATAACAACTTATATATGGTAATCAAACGGACTTTAGCAACAGCTACAAAACTATGTACATCCTCATTCTTAATACATCAGTCTTGTCATAAAATATGCAATACTTTGAATGGGAAAAGACGACCTTTATTCGTTTCTCAAAGAGAAATTTTTCCTTTCCATGTAGTTTAAAGTAGTGAACATACCTGCAGTATTTCTTCCTGGATCGATACCTACAACAACCACTATTTCTCTCTCTGCTTCTCTCTTAAGTTAGTTCCCCCCCCCCCCCCCCAACCCTCAAAAACAAATACATTTGCTCTTGCTTATTCGTCTCCAGTCACAGATGGTAACTAATTATAACCAAAAAACAGAGGAAAAGTGAAAGTTTCAGACAATAAATAGCGTCTTACAGCCACAAACATATCAACTTCCCATAATGACAATGGTTGTCCAAGACATCACTAGCTGTGTCTCTAAGGGGACACATAGTCTTGACTAAAGAACAAGAAGACACGAAAAAAAAATTCATGGGTATAAATAAAGTTCAATCATAAGCACTTCATTTTATGCTAAAAATGAAACTAAAACTCACAGTCACACTTGATATCTCCTTGTATTCCTTCACCGCTGCATCACCCATTTTGCAGCCGATCAATCGTTTAACGTGTGACACAGTGTTATTAGCATTCCGGATGATTCCCTGCTTTGCTGCTGCTCCAACAGACTAAAAGTTTTGCAAAAACAAAGATTTTTACAACCTCATAATCAGTAACTAGGTCATGACTTAATTACACATTTTAAAAGGATTGTCCATTTGTAAGAGGGAAGTGTGCACAAAAGAAAATTTAAGAAGTTCAAGTCCACAAAACTTACACGTTTGGAAAATGTGGGCAAAAATACAAAATACTGGTAAGTTCTTTATAACCCTAACCAGGAAACTAAACGAAACAAGGGAAAAATCTGAAATGTGGACAGCAATAAAGAGACTACAGTACAATCTTCATTTCTGGTCCTTAAAGAAATAGACAAGATATACCGCTAAAACAGACAAGCATAACAAATAAAAACAGATTCATGATTTACAGCCTATGAGGCAACACCACCTGTGACAAACCATTCATTGTTAATGAAATATATGTAATAAATCAAATGGCAATCTGATTACAGACAAAAACTAATGGATAAAAGAAGGAATGAAATGAAATACTCATAATGATGTTTTTAAACTTGTACTAGGCATGACCATTTCGTAAAGCAGAGAAAAGGTATTATAAAATGAGAGTTTTAACACCCTGTTTGAAAGTTTCACCATCCTCACAATAGGTCCATTTCAAGCTGTTGTTTTTTAAATATGGGCATAAATTTGTGTCTCTAAATCAAGATATCTATAGTGCTTTTAAACAGTTAACCCATTCAAAATTTATTAAATATTTTGTTAGAATTTCTCTGTTCCCTTTTCCTGATCAATACAACATACTAAAAAAAAAACCTACTATTGTGAACCAGTCACCTTATTAAGGCACAATAGGTATATCTACTAGCTCGAACAAAAAGCTTTACAAAACTTTTTTCACGGGATATAATTTGGCAACATCAGAACCATTCACTGACATCATTAACTTACAGCTTCGTGGTCAGTAAATGCCACAACAGCAGGGGTCACACGATCTCCTAAGTCATTTGCTACCACATCTGTTCTACCATCCTGAAAAAGACACACAGCAATTAACAATATAACCAGGAAATTCATTAATTTAAAGACCACATCTCAAAACTTTTCAAAAAAATTAACAGATCACATGTTTTTGGGGGGGTTTTAGTAGAGGGTTTTACAGCGCTCGCAATATCACACATTTATCAGAGAAAAATCATTTCAGGAAGTTTCACTTATATCCAAAACCATTTCCAGGGGTCTTAGGTGACAGCTGAAGGCCAGATGCACAAGCCAATCTCAAAAGGTCAGCATAAAAGCATCATTGCAACAACCATAATATTTAAACATTCAATTTCTATGCTTTTCTTTCTTTCGAGTTTATTGTAATAAACTATTCTTCTCATTGAAGAGGCTGGTTGGGGGGGGGAGTAGTTTTTGTTTTGACGTCCACCTGTAAGGAATTAATACAAGAAAAAAATGGGTAAACCCACTTTGTTTTATAGTGGTCTTAACAAAATGGGCTAGCCGTACTTATTCCATAATATGATGGCTAGACTGACCATTAAAAAAAGATAGGCCTACTGAATTGTAAATATAAATTTTTAGTTTGCAGTACCTAAAGTATTTGTATTTGGGACGAAACCAGGTGCCTTAATGACAGTCTAGCCGTACTTAAGTATGGCTAAACTTCTTGGCTAGCCGTACTTAAGTACGGGTAGACAGCCAGGCTAGCCGCACTTAATATTGATTGCTGAATTGTAAATGAAATTTTTAGTTTGCAATGCCTAAAGTATTTGTATTTCAGACAAAACCAAAAGGTGCCTTACTGACTTGCATGTATTTGAACCTGAATAATTACTAGACCTAGATCTAATGAGATCTGTGTACTTAACAAACAGGTTTGAGTCGATAGGGCCAAACCTAGATCTAAGTATGGCTAGACTCTCAGGCTAGCCGTACTTAACCACTTCGTAATTATAATTTGTTGCTTTGTAACTTCTTATGTAGTGAAGAAGCATGCAAATTTTGGTTTTGTCCCCCAGAGGAGCTTTTTCTACTAAGTATAGATCTAGATCTAGAATCTAGATCTAGATCTAGAAGCTAGGCTTACTTTTCCTTTTGGCCACCTCTATTCTCACCCCGGGTGAGAATAGCGCAGGCGAGTCTTTTGGCTATTCTCACCCGGTGGGCATTCACTTTCACCGTTATGCCGTTATAGCCTTGGCCAACCAGTGAAGCGTTCACCCTGAACCACAGAATTCTACACTGTGATATCAGAATTGTAGAATTCTGTGCCATGAACAAACGTTCTAGATCTATTACTAAGTTACTGTTAGAGTTAGCCTAAAAACTAAAAGCGTGCAATTTTGTCTGTGGGCAGTGGAGAGAGAGAAAGAGAGAGAAAGAGGAGTAACGAGAGAACTTCCGGGCAAAACAAAATGACGACCCGCGTAGTTCGGCTCGATTCGGAAAGTTTAATAGCCGTAGCATCTTTGTAGACGACCAAATTAATTTAGTTTTGTTTTTTAACATCATTTTTTAAACTTTGTTTTGGTCAATTTGATCGTCCATACCGATAGACAGTATTCAGAAAGAGACACAGAGAGAGAGGGAAGGAGTAGATCTTGCGAGAACTTCCGGGCGAAACAAAATGGCGACCCGCGTAGTTCGGCTCGATTCGAAAAGTGAAATAGCCATAGCATCTTTGAAGACGATCAAATTAGCTTACTTTTGTCTTGTGCTATAACGTAATTTTTTCTTGGCTTTTATCAATTTAATCATCCACACCGATAGACAGTATTCTGAAATGAGGAAAAACAGGTCTTGTTTCACACCGGGTGAGAATAGCCTACGCTGGCAAGTCTCACCCGGGGTGAGAGGTAGATCTAGATCTAGATTCTAGATCGTATTTTTATTCTCACCCCGGGTGAGACTAGCCACTTCCTTTCCTTTTACCAATTTATTTTATGCCTGGTTAAAGTATATTTTCAACAGTGGCTTTCCTTAGTCCGTGAGTCTAATTTTAAAAATTTATTTTAGAATCAGAAAGGCCAAATCTTAGCTCTTCATTTGCAAATTTTCGGTAAGATTGAAGAATAGCGGACCAGCGGACTGACTTTGCCTATGTCCCAACCTTAGGAATTCATAATTTTCCTGTTTTTAATATCTCTCAATGGAGAATCTCGGACCGGTAGATCTAGATCTAGATCTAGACTCTATTCATTAATATTTTGTCAGGGGGGAGACCCCCCTGAACCCCCCCTCCCCCACCCCAACCACCAGCCCCACCAACCCCACTTTCTCGCGCAATAATGTACGAGTGGTCTGGTATTCTTCAATCTTCCCATATTTTCTCCTGCCAATTATTATTCGTCCTGGCTGGGGGTCCGGGGGCAAATTGTTGGTCAGTAAGGAGAAGGAGAGGGGGGAAAAACAACCAACCCCCCCCCCCCCCCCCCAAGTTTCCGGGACCGGGATTCGAAGCCACGCTTGGAAGCACTGAGCATTAGAGAACATAGACAGCTTGTATACGTCCTCTAACATTAGAGAACGTGGACACTACCTAAAACAAAAACACTTACCCTATAAACAGCAACACAACCAGAACACGTGCCGAAGTGAAGCCCAAACGCAGCCATTTTGCTTGTTGGTTGAGCAGTTGTTGCTGATTGCTGATGTGATGAAAGTTAAAAATTTGGATTGATATCGAGAGTGCAAGTGGCAAGCAGTTTGAGCAGTGTACCTTTCAATCATGAAGCTGTCGTTCGTATTCTCATTTAAATTTTTTTTTTTTTTTTTTTTTTTTGGGGGGGGGTCTGCACTTTGTTCATCTTGAAATACTTTCCCCTTTTTCAATGGGTAGAAAAACACGCATCCTTTGTTGATGCAGGCGTAATTATACACACATAGGCATATAGGCATAATTATATTCCACAGTCCTGCAGCTTATCAATAATTAAAAATGTTATTATTCAAAATGCAAAGTATTTTGAGGATTTAGCGGGCTTATCAATGTATTGCATGGTAGTCCCCATACAATTTTTTTCTGAATCTTGAAATAACATATTATTAAATGTAGCCTACTTATACACTAAGTAGAGAAAAAAAATCTTTCAATTCTAAATAGGTATAATATTATTGAAAGATTATTATTGTCACTCTTGTCATTATTTCATTCTCACTTCCCTGTCTTCTTCTCTCTCGCTCTCTCGCTCTCTCTCTCTCTCTCTCTCTCTCTCTCTCTCTCTCTCTCTCTCTCTCTCTCTCTCTCTCTCTCTCTCTCTCTCTCTCTCACACACACACACACACACACACACACACACATACACACACACACACACACACACACACACACACACACACACACACACACTCACTGTATATAAACACGTACATACACATGTATTATATATCTGCCCTAACGGGAACGGTATTCTGTGTAAAACGGAATCCTGATTAATGGAATAATGGAATCCCCCCCCCCCCCCCCTTATGTGTATTCCTCTATAAACCTGTGTAAAGCGGAAACCTGTCTAACGCGGAAATGGAAAGTAAAATCTGTTCCCTTCCGAGGGTTTTACCTGTCGAAGACGGAAAATGCTTTGCCATTCAGTAGTGATTTGAAACAAAACTTGCAGTTTTGATTCTGTCGTGCTCTAAACTTAACGCCATAATGCTGCCGGGCAAGGAACGGGAGTAGGAGTGCAATTTGAGGGGTTACCACATCTATGTGAGCACTGAGCTAGGCCTTCTCAGTTGGATGAGGAGGCAGCCCTGAGCCACGAAGATGGTCAGTGTGGTGTGGGTGTGAAATTTCACGAGTGCCAGTAAAAGTGCCCGAGTGGTGCTCCAACACGGAAATTTTCACTGGTAGCCAGAGGCCAGAGGTGTGAAATAATGAAATTAGTTTGACCAATGCCTGCCACCCTGATCGTACAGCCGGCCCAGAAAATAGTTCCTCGAACTTTGTTACATATGACAGTAAGGGATGGCATTGTGACTGTGCTTGTTACACGGATGGGTGGGGCTAAGGGTGGAAGCAAAGGAGATGTTCAAACTTTTCTGTTTTTAATAGAGGTCAAACAGTTGTCCTATGAAATGCAAACACTGAAGGTAAGTGGATACAGTGGGTGCCGCATTCAACGAGGTCACATTCAACGAGAAGTCGGCTCCAACGACGCAATCCTTAATCCCCGATTGTTTCCTCTATACCGGTATCTCTTTGTAAATGTACGTCGGCTCCAACGACGTTCCAAACAAACCGAAGTCGCTTTCAACGAGGTCGCGATAATCAAATAAAAAGCGAAAACATTTTCTCCTTTCTCTCCATCTCAAACGAAGCACAAGGCCCATCCTCGATTCCTAACACATTGTATTGCTAGATCTAGTGTGCCTCCTAATAGTTGGGCCTCAAAGCCAAGAGGATGGGCGAGGGTGGGAGGGGGTGGGTGGGAACGTGATACAGGCTGAGTGAAACTGGATGAACTCTGGATGGGTAGGTCTAGATCTAGATCGAGACCTTCTTTTTTTAAAATTTTCTCTTCTTCCCCTAATCAGAAAATGCAAGCTCCCGCCTTTACTTTAGGTAGATCTAGATCTAGGCCTAGATGTGAGAGGGTATGTTTCCACACGAGAAGTGTTCCGGAAAAAGAAATTAAATGCAGAAATTGGCAGAAATGACGGTCAGAACACAGCTCAAACTCGCGCACACTGATGCTGTTTCAGATTTTCGCCATCAGGGGGAACAACTGTTTTAATTACTGGTATTGGTACATCGTGTAATAATATAATAAATTGTCTCCTTTCTTTACTTTAGCCTTAGTCACGTTCAACGAGAGGTCGGATTCAACGAGGACAACAAGCCGGTCCCGGCAACCTCGTTGAATGCGACACCCACTGTAAATAAGACTGACGTATGTCATTATTGTCAAAGATAGTAAATAACAAGATGGGCCACTCAGCCAAAAAAGTGTCCGAAGGAAGTTTGCTCTTTGCTTCAGATGGCGCTGCAGTCTGTTTTGAAGCTCTCTTTCGTTTTTCTAGAAGAAGAATAGGGATAGCACCTCTTTGCGTGCGCAGATCGACTGCTGTTCATCAGCAGTTCGGGTTCGTTCAGTGCGGAGTTTTAGGTTTTTAAAAATTGTAATGACCTCTCGCCTTTCATTCTAAAGTCAAATTAAACGAAGAAAACAATCACCCATTCCTCCGGAAGAGGTTTTTTGTCAGCTTAACCATTTTTTAAAAAGCGTTCTTCCGAAATTCATTCAAAAAATTGCTAGTTTCACTTTGATTTTTTAAACTCAAGTAGGATAACTCTGTTCGCTAAAGGTGCGCTTTTGCGAAGAGGGCGCCACCGAATTTTGAGGACACTTTTTTAATTGGCTCAAAGAGAGAAGTGCCCCCTCTTGTTATGTAGACTCTTTGCTTAGATCAAATATCAAGAATACATGGCATCATAACAGAGAAGACAGCAGTTGAGAGGTGTGAAGTTTTGACCACTGCTTGCCGACCGGACCAGCGACCCATGATCCCACCGACTGGGCCTTATGACCCCTCCCCCCCACCCCCTCCACAGTGGCGTCGCGTAGGTTGCTGCAGACAATGTGGTGTATAATAATTGGAAAGTGAGCAAATGAGCAATAGGCTTAGTAGCTTCTATTAAGATTTCTAGAGAAAGTCAGTTAGAATCTGCAGGATATCCCGTTATCTACATTTGTCAATATTTACAACTGCTTCTAGATGGAACCGCATAAATAAAAGCTGCAATAAATTGAAACAATACTAACAAGTCACTATGCTCACAATCTGAGAAGATTTAAAGATTTCTAATTACTTCGTGCAGCACCAGGACTTGCTACACAATAGAGGGTGACAACGGTTTAGATACCCATTCTTCATTGAGTTATCGTAGACTCTACTAGTGTAGTAGATGTAGTGTTGGGCGGTACCGGTGAAACTCAGTGTCAACATTTTCTCGGTACTGGGTGCCGAGAACCGCCAGTACCGGTACCGGGAGTGACATCAGGGGGTGACGTCACAGACTGCGTCTCGTGTTTCACACTAGGCCAGTAAATATTGACATCGAACCCGGACAAGAAACATAACAACCAAATTTTTACGCCAACTTAAACTTTGAGCCATTAAATACTACCAAAAAAAAATTCAACCAAAATCGCCCTTGGGGAACATGCTTAATTTTAACCTAATAAAGGTCAAAAAGGTCAATTTTTGAATTACTTTGAAGATATCTTTATTCATTCAGAATGAAAGAAATGGTCAAATGAAACACAAAAATACTTTTATTTTTTAAATTGACCAAATAGTTATCACTTAATTAGCATTTAAAGATTATTATAGGTCAAGGTCAGTGTCAAGGTCATCTTTAAAAATAGCTCAAATATGGTCGTGTTTGGTATCAAATTCAACGTCTCAACAAGAAAAGCTCAGAATTTATGTTGTTTATGCAATTAACGTACATTTAAATTATCTATTGGCGGTAAACACATGGTTGAGATAATGATGTTTAACGTTTAAAAACAAAAAGATATGATGTGGTCATACAAACCTCAAAAATAAATCCATGTTCCGGCATAGCATGCAGCTCGGCTTTTGTATGCCAAGCTTCATGAAAATTCGTTGGTAAACATGGGAAGATAAGTAAAAATAGTAAAGTTAGAGCAAAATAAGACCTTTCCGTGATTTCACATTTGGAACTCCCCCCTTCCATTTCTAACCAATTATTCGAGTTATGGTCATAAGTGTATGACTTCCGCTGTGTATGAGTTTCCTTCTTCTAGATTGGTTGCTCTGAAGAGCTATAGAGTCCTTCCTACCCTTGTTACGGCCTAGTTAGGGAACTTAAGAAGAAGTCTGTTTGCGTTGATTTGTAGAGAGCTGGTCCCCTTCCACCCCACCCGCGTCGTAGGCCAGGCACTTAATGTGTAAACTAGATAGAAAATATTGAGCTTGGCGGTTCCTTCCCTGGGCCCAATTTAAATTGTGTCGTTTCTGAAGTATTTTCATACTGCCCTCTGCAATGACAATGTATACTGCAAGGAATGTTGTATTTGCAGCAAGTACATGATTTGCATGCTGGAGTACTGCTCTTACACGAACAGCGGATTTCACGTAGCAGTTAATCTGGGGCCTGAGCATTGTCAGTTATCACTGGACTCAGACAGGGCGCAGATTAAGGGAATGACAAGAACTTGACTCCTATGTCTGTGAATTCCTTTACATTGGCATCTGTTTGTCCAAAAATAGTTGTCTTATGTTGCCAGTGCTCTGACTTTTGCAAAATGTCACATTACGACAATGACTGGATCAGAATATTGATGTTTGCACAGACAAATATAGAAAAAGACTGGCTTACTGTTTGTCCATTATGGGAAAAACAAGTGATTTTTAAAAAAAATCACCAGAGAAGATGATTTCAGAGAATAGTGTCTGTTTGTGAGACACATCTCTCGCCACTTGGCAATGCAGGGTTCGGGATTGAATTCTTTGATCTCAGGACCATTGGGACAAATAAGCATAATCTTTTCAAGCATATCTCTGCAAAGCGAATGCCTCCAGTCACCAATCTATTTATCTAGTAGCCATCATTTCTACATAATACTATTGTAGTTCTGCCTGAATTGTGGAATCTTACTCAGTTTTTTAAAATAAACCTCCTGATCTGACTTGACTCCTTTTTTTATGACGTTTTATTATTCCGATCAATATTGTGTAGATCTAGATCTAGATCTAGAATCTAGATCTAGATTAGATCTGACAGTCGTTTCTGACATTGTTTGCACAAAAGTAGACTAGATGTAGTCTTGTTCATCTCTCCATAATCATTTGAGTTTGAGTTTGAGCAAGTAAGTCGAAAGCAATAACAAGACGGTGCAACTCGATAGAAGCAGTATTTCCTGTCCGCAGTGTCATCATACAATAGATCTACCTAAAAATATTATCTTTATTTCAGTTAGGCCCAGAGAACGTATACAAGCTGTCTACGTTCTCTGAGTCTAATGTTCAGTGCTTCCAAGCGTGGCATCGAATCTCGGTCCCGGAAGTTTTTTTTTTCTTCTTCTCCTGAGCCTAAAATAATAATAATTTTAAAAAAAATTAGACTCACGTAGACCAAGGAAAGCCATTACATGTATTGAACTTTAACCAGGCCTAACTAAATTAGTAAAAGGAAAAGTATAGGCTATACTATAAGGCCTACTTTGCACAGAGCTCCTCTTGGGGACAAAACCAGAATGTGCATGCTTCATCACTACATAAAAAAAAAAAACTACAGAGCAACAAGTTATAAATTATAATCTAATTATGGGAAACATTTGGGCGCTTTTTCGGTAGTTCCCACCCCGTAATTGTTATTCGCCGGTTTTGGCCCCAAGAGTAGGGGGGTTTCTTGCCCCCCTGACCTAATAAAAATATGCTGGGGGGTTTCAGGGGGACATGCCCCCCTGAATTTTACCACAATTTAATGTTTTGCAGTTGTTAGGTTTGATATCTTAGCTTGCCGCAGATCAAACGTATAGATCTAGATCTAGATGTAGGTCAGGTTCAAATAAGGGGGGGGGGGGACTACCGAAAAAGCACCAAAATTTGTTGGTCAGTCGAGAAGAGGACAAAAAAAGAGAAACAAAACAAACAAAACAAAACTTCCCGGACCATCCCACGCTCATAAAAATCAATACATGTAATGATTTGGCTACGCAGACGCGCTGTCCGTTCGGCCATCAGAATTTCCAACAACGGTAGGTACATATTTATTAAGCTTCATATAAGCTAACGTAACACACGGCGTGTTATTTAGCACTGGCGCTAATCGCAACGCGGCGTTGCTAAGGCACTTCCTAATTAATATTCAACTTTTTATAAATTCTACCAAGTTTGTTTGGCTTCAAACATGTACGCTAGGATGTGGGCTGGTGGTTTTGTTTGTCTTTTTTAAATAAGTTGTGTCAAAATGTCAGAACTGCCAGTACTGATAAAAGCTAAAAGTTGGGAACGCAGCAATACTCGTTGTTGCTTGGTTACTGTGCTCTTCCGTAAAGAAAATAGCTAAGAAAAGAGTTTTGTTTAATGCCAAATTGCATTGCATTTAGTATTTGGTTCGCACATGCACGTCGTAATTGTTCAGTCGTTCCTTCCCTCACATCTAGCAGACTTTTATAAAAACTAGATCTATATCTAGGCTAGACCTTCTTTTAGGACGTACTTTTTGATATGAAAGGGACTATTTACATTTTCTGAGTGATAAAAGCAAAATAAGGAACTTTTTAAAATGCACTTTTAACTTCAAATTTAACATAAAAGTGGGGAAAAAAATTGGCCAAGAGTAGCAGACCCCGAACTGTTTCTTGCGTCGTCTGTCTGAATTAGGAGTTGGAGGAATTTGCGTCCAAGTATTCCAAGCTGGTTCCTTCAGCTGTGGTATTATTATTATTATTATTATTATTATTATTATTATTATTATTATTATTATCATTATTATTGCATTCTAGATCTAGAATCTAGGCCTGGGGGCTCTCGCGGCCTAGAGGTTAAGGTGTTGGCCTCTCATTCAAAAGGTCCCGGGTTCGAATCCGGGTAGCGACCGAAAAATTTCCTTCTCCTTTCACCTAATTTCCTGCTCTCTAGCGATGTTCTGTCGTCTGCTTTCGTCTCCTCTTTCTGCCCCCACCCCCTCACCTCCTTTGCCCCTTCCTCTGGGCTCCTGATTCTTTCTGCAGTCTTTCTACTGTTACTCCTTCGCTTCTTCTTACTGCTGTCTTTCAGCCACACCCCTGATCTTCTGGTAGGAAAAATCTAGATATAGATCTAGAAAATATAGATCTATATCTATATCTATATCTATATCTAGAATCTAGATCTACACCTAACCTTCTCCGACAAGAGCGAAAAATTTCGGAGGACCTGTGTGCAAGTTGCGCATGTTAAAGATCCCTTAATTGGTGGTCTAAAATCGATAAGAGTAGGCTTCGGCCAAAATTAAAAATTTCCTACCAACTGAAAACATTAGGTGTGACCCGCGCGCTCATATGACCATATGCAGTTGTGAGCGCCGTAAAACACTTTACAAAAACAAACAAAACAACATTCTAGGCCTAATCTAGATCTATAATCTAGATCTACTTCTCATCATCTCTGTGCCTCTCTCTAAGCAGTCTCGCAGTCACATAGTCAGAGTCGAGGGGCTCGTGTGTGTGTGTGTGTGTGTGTGTGTGTGTGTGTGTGTGTGTGTGTGTGTGTGTGTGTGTATGCGTGTGTGTGTTTGTGTGTGGAAAATGTAGCAGCAGTGTTACTTTTCATACGAAACAATGCAGGATTTTAGTGAAATAAACAGATAGATCTATATTCATCTATTTGATAGATTCACCATGAAGATTGTTTTATCAGTGGTTAAAAGCCTCCAGAAATAGATCTAGGGGGTGCCCATAATATACTATATACGCGATCGGGTCTGGTCGGGTCTGGTCGGGTCTGGTCTGGTCGGGTCTGGTCGGGTCGGGTCGGGTCGGGTCGGGTCGGGCTTTTATACGGGTTCCCACTACGGCTGGATCGGGCCGATCGCCCGACTCGATCGCCTCAAAATCAAAATCGAGGCCAGAGTATTTCTTATACAGGGTGCCCACTAAGGCTGGATCGGGCCGATCGCCCGACTCGATCGCCAGAAACTGAAAACAAACACGTTTGTTTTTGAGACGATCGAGTCGGGCGATTGGCCCGATCGGCCGATCCCAGCCATGGTGGGCACCCCGTATTAATGTATTCATGGGTCAAAATGGACACGTGACTCAGCCTTGTTGTGATTGGCTGCAAATCACCCGAAAACAAACGTGTTTGTTTTTGTAGGTCACCGATCCTGTCGATCGGTTTGTGCCACGAAGGCCGCTTTGCGCCCTCAATTTGGCTATCCCTGACTACCCGATGGGCCCGACCCGACCCGACCCGATCGCGTATGTGGGCACCCCCTATTACATTTCTTCATTTTGCCTTTAATAGGCTATACAGACAAAAAGAAACATACCCAGCGTATTTCATTCTAACCTCCCCAGTTTGATCTCATTCTCATGTGAATTTCTGACCCCAATATTCGAAATGAATCAATTTACTTACTTTTGTTTTGACTGCTCCCTTTTTAAAAAATGGAAACAGAGTGAACCCTCCACCCCCCCCCCCCCACCCCCCCCAAAAAAAAACGCAGCATGACTTGAGCCCAAAAAATCAAAAAGAGAATGTGGTTGAAGAAGAACAAATTACTTTGCACTGCTCCTGCTCTCAAATATTAATCTGTGGATGTTCATTGTCTCTCACACTAAACACATCCTTAAATTGGGCAGAAACTATGTCCTTTGAAGTTCTGATTACCCTTATTATCATAATCCTAGAAAATAGTATTCATATAATTATACTCTTGCTCGTATCAATTTCATTGTTTTCCTACCTACTACTACTAATGGATCTCCTTTTATTCCTTTATAAAATATTCTTCAAAATGAGCAATTGTAGCCAAGGCATATTTGGGTCTCCTGCAGAACCATTGTTTAACAATGAGTTCCACAGTGTCAGCTCTGAAATGCTACAAGACTGGCTTGTGACAAGTGCGAAAAGCAATATTCTTGACGTCAAGACTTCAAAAGAAACACAGGCAATTTGTAAACTTTTGTCCTTATAAACCAGTTCAATACTTTTTAGATGCCCCCACTCTGTATTTGTTAACTGCCTTAATGCCTTTGCTTAAGTTCCTTATATCAGTGGGCAAAGAATATCAGCGACAAAATTTTCTTTAATAAAACATATGCACAGTACTTGGAAGGTGTAGAAATCTATTGGCTTTTAGTTTTTATTTAGATTGTAATGATTTATGTTTAGATAATTCTACTAGAATTTGGAAGTATTTTTCAATGCACATGTGTTTTATTTAAAGCTTGCTTATAAAACTTAGAATAAGTATAAAAGTGAGTTTTATGGAGTTTCCCCTTTAAAGAATCTATTGATTTTTGTCTAGTAAATTTGGAAAATACTAGTTATTAGCTGAGGGACTGTTTCAGTTTAAACCAATTAGCAATACTGAGCCTTAAAGTTATGAGTAAAGAAAAATATTTTGTTCTTTTGCTAGTAGGATGCTCCATTTAAGTAGGTTTGCTCCTTCTCCAGAAACATGAATTAAAAAAAAAATCTGTGTGAGTAGGCCTACGTCTTTATGCTCTTGTGTATACAGTTTTTGCATTGTCACTTTATCCCTTTATCATTTCAAATTTTCAAATGTTTTGTTAACTGCTCAAGAGAAAAAAATTGTTCAGTCAGGAGAGCATGGATTTGAATATATTAAATAATAGCCTCATGAAGATCAAAGTGTCACATCAAATCAGAAAAGCAGAATATGGTATGTTGACAATTCATATTGATTTATACGTTTGTATCTATTAGCAATTCAATATCTGAAATCAAAATTAAAGCGTTTTTATTTGATTTCTTTAATTACTTTCTCTCAACTATGGTTATTTTGGCTCTTTACAGCATATATTTGGCACTGGAGGTTGGTGTGAGTGTGTCTTCCTTGTGTGTGAAAAATTTGATTTGCCATGGCAAGCTAAATTTGCTGCCCTGGACATTTTGGACAGGTATGTTCATTTTACTATTGTGTTTCAAGGGTTATAGATGTTTTTGTACATTGTTGATTTCGTCCTGATTTAGATACTTGTTAGTATCAAAGCATTAGATATATAGATCTATGTATATATATATATTACACGTTATTTTGTAATGTGTACTGTTATGCACACCAATTAATGCACTCTCACTCTCACTCACACACAATGCACACACATACGAACACACACACAGGATGAAATACACTCTCAGACACACAATGCACACGTGTGCACCCATACACACACACCCTCTCTCACTCGCACACAAACTCACGCATACGTACACACAGACATGTAGTCATATAGATTTCCACATCTTCACAAACACAGAATACCGCTTGGTCAGTTTTTGCATAAAAGGCTTTCAGACTTTTTCTTAAGGAAATAAAGTCTGTATCTCTAAATTACATTACGCTCTATTCACTCTGCACATGCCCCGGTCGCTTCCCCTCTTGACAATTTTACTCTTTTCTATACCCACAGGTTTATGCTGAAGCATGTCCAAGGCTTGTACAAGTACGTCCAGAACTCGGAAAGCAATAATAAGAAGGCAGACTGGACAAAAATTCTGGAGCGTATAAGTAAACAGGCTTTCTTGAGAATAGTCACCTGCTGTCAAGTTGCTAGCAAGCTCAATTCTCATTACAAGGTGATTGATTGTTAATGTTTTATGCCCCCATTAACACCATTTAGTTCTTTTTGAAAATAGGGTAATTTAACTCTGCCTGTCAGGCCCAATCTGAAAAAGAAGTTTTTTACCATCTAGCATAAGGCTTTTGTCAGAATGAGCATAGATGTGTGTTGCTCTTAGAGTATGTATCTGTATATAACTCCCTCCAAAGGTCTAGTATTTAAATTCCTGCATGTGGTTGAATGATGCATTTGATGTAAATGTACATTTTGTCAGCTTTACTTCTCCTTTCATATTGAATTTTAATGAGAGTAATATATAATATGATTAAACATTTTTTTATGTATACCTGCATGTGTTTTTACGGTCCTGTACAGCCAAGGAAAACTTCCCGCTGGGATAATAAAGTACTATCTTATCTTATCTTATCTTAGATAGAAATAGGTAGTGGATAAATTAACTTCCCCATGTGGGAGTTCAACTCACATCTCCTGCTTGGACTAGGGAAGAACCTAATCATTACACAGCACTTACTATTGCAAGGTGTTCTTGTCTCTGAGAGTTAAAAATATGTCATCCTTCCTGGCATGTTTTGAAATTGAAGCCTTGGTCTTTTGGTATAACGACATAACCCATTTGTCTCACTGGTTCTATCACGGCACACATTAACGTTCTAAATTCATGTTTTGCAGGTTATAACTGTAAAACGTGTACGTCGCTGCTTACTTGATGCAGGCTACAGCTACTCATGTGAAAGCATTCTTCAGTCAGAGATGAGAGTGCTGAAAACATTGTCATATCAAGTATCCAAAGTGACCTGTGTCGATTTTGTGGAAATTATCCTGGAAATCTTAGGTAACTTTAAGGGGGGGGGGGGGTTACACCTGAAGGCTATCTCGCTTATTACTTGACCGTATTTTACCAAACTTCACATATATGACAAGCATAGTAAGGAGTCTTAAAAACCGCAATCAAATTTGAGAAAAAAATTTGTTTCCATGGATACGTTAGCCATATTGGATTTTTTTGACATGTCTTACGTAATGAATACTGCACTTACTGCTCATGGAAATTGATTTTTTTTGCATGCATATTAACAAACACTAGATCTAAAAATGTATCTGTTGTTTTTTTTCTAAACGAATTAAAAAAAAAATTATGAATTTTTTTCTGAGGTACCATTCAAGTTTGCAAAAAAATCCGTGAACATTCACACTCAAGACACCACCACCAAAAAACTTTTCCAAATATAAAAAATTCAGCAAAGAAATTTTTAGTATTACATCTTCTCTTCATTCTGTGGAAATTTCATGAAGATTGGATGAAAAATGGTGGAGTTATTTAAAAAATATAGAGAACAGTCGCGTTTTGAGAAAAAGGCCGGTAAAGAAAAATAAAATATTGACTTTATGAGGAAATGGTGGTGATAAACATGCCCGGTATAGGAAAAAATACGTTTTTTGGAGGTTCTTATGCGATGAAATAGTTGTAGGAGAGGCTGAGGAAGCTAATAATGCCTACAACTCAAAATCCACAATTTTGAGCCGAATCGCGACTTTTGGGGTATAGCTCCCCCCCCCCCCCCCTTTAAGAAAAAAGACAATATCACTGTTTTTTATCTGTTTCCAAAAGCACAATCATGTTTTTCTCATTGTTTTTCCTAATGGCTTCAAAAGTTTATAGTAATTTTATAATCTGTGGTACCACTAGGCCCTACACTATTTTCTAGGGAAGTGGTTTCATCATAGATAACCTATTTTGTGTAATGGAATAATCTCACCTTCTCTGAGTTAAGCGCTATCTAAATATTTTGGAACCAACCATTCTACATTTCTTTTTTTTGAGAAACTGCTTAGCTTCAGTCATTTTCAAAAAGATAACGATTTGTGGGTGGTTAGCGAATGGATGTCAGTGGTAGGTCTGACTTTATACTGACCCCTGTCTTTTGTCGGTCTGTCTTGCTTTTTCAACAGCATCGAATAACCACATTGTTTTGTTTAGTACCTTCATGTACCTTTTAAAACAAAAGCAAAATGGAGTTTATTTATCAGTGATGACACGAGAGAAGGGAAGTATGTTAATTTTTTTAAAGCCAAGCTAATGGAATGGTGTGGATGGTGGTATACAGTCAGTAATATAAATGCATTTGTAAAAATGTTATTTAGCTCCGGGTACTAGGCTAAGTAAGTTCTAAGTGTTGAAATATATAAGAATGAAATGTTTTAAAAAACTAACATTTCTCCTATGTTTTACGAGAAAAGCGTATGTGAACAATAATAGTATATTGTTTACTTACTGTATATTCTTTTTTTTATTGTTGGTTTATTGCTCCCACATTATTAGAACAACATTCATTGGACCTAATTTTGAAAAATTACAGCGAAATTTTGACAACTGTATGTAAAACACTTCACCTTTGTTTCAGGTCGTAATTCTATGGATGAAGCAGCAAACATTAAAGTTTATCATGAACTAGCAGTGAAGATTCTTACAGTTGTCTGTATTTATCAAGATGAAATCTATGACAGACTCTACTTCACCGTGGCAAGGCCAGAGTTTGGATTTCTTCCCTCTACTGAAGAGCAAAAGTAATGTTCTGTTTTGTGTCTGTAGATCTATACGTTATGATAGAAAGTGAAAAGTTAGGATGAAATGTTGATGTCACTATGGAGTTTATTCATTTCGAATAAGTATATGTAGTGGTTTATTATTCTATATTTGGCAACAACTCCACTTTGCAAATAGAAGCTGTGTCCTACGGATTGGCAAGCCAACTCTCTTCCTCAGTTACCCTTAAAAAAGTGCTACTATCCAGATCACAATCTAATATTGTTCCTGCATGCTCTAGCTTATGATCCTCTCTATAAATGGCATCTATAAATGGCATCTGCTTACATCAGGGTGAGCATTTTCACCATATAGCATTATAGTCATTGCCACATATGACAAAATACAAACAATTATGAATTCAACATTCCTGCACACACATGTAATGTATACACGCTCTCGAGCACTATCACACACACACACACACACACACACACACACACACACACACACACACACACGCACACGCACACACACACTCACACAGACACATACAAATGAACACACATGCTGGCTCAAGAGCTGAAGGATTTTTATTTTCTGAAACTCATCATTACTTTTTCTCTCTGATTCCAGAAGCTGAATATTTTCATGAACTTCCAGCTTGATCAATTACTGTTTGATCTTGATATGGCAAGAGAAGACTTTCTAGTACTTTGATTAATACTAATACTGTTTTCCACAGCCGAAAATTGGCAGCTGTTAAGGCCGACAAAATGTTGTTGGCTGTGTCTGTGATAGCAGCAGCAGTGCACATCATTGATGAGTCTCACACATCTCAGGTAAGTTGTATGAACCAAACACTTCTCAAGTACATTGTATTACACACATCTCTGTTACAGTGGAATTTGGATAGCTGTTTTGTTTTGTTTGTTTTGGTAGAGGTTGTTTGGATTCAACGAAGTCGTCGGCCTGACCTTCAATTTCGTTGAATCGGAGTGTTTGTTATAGCAAACATGTGTTTTTTTGCTTGTTTAGATGTTACAGTCACTGAGCAAGTAATGTATGCAAGGAAGTAACACGTGGTAAGCTAACCTGAAATGCCTGCTGTTTTGCCCTCTTTCGACTCCCTCAATCCAAAGTAGTTAGGTTTCAAATGAGAGACATTTTTATGTCTTTGATGCCATACCGAAGAAATGCTGGAAAATCCACGAAAAGACACTGAACCCTACCAAGCACACGTTGTGCAAAAGGGCTGGTTCTTTCAAATGCATGCCTGTGTCATTTATGACTTTTTGTTTGCCGAACAAGTTGTGTTGTCATGCTGTGTATAGCCTAGCATACGTCAACATTTGATACCACAGACCAACGCGCAAATTCATTATGTCAAAACTAGCGTATAATTGTAATATTAATCAGAAGGAGGACTTGCATCTCTACTAGCATTCCACGCCTGAACCACTTGTGCCCCTTCCCCATGACAAATGTACACACAGTCACGTGTGTGCTGGCCACTCATCCGACTCTGACACACGCTGAGGGTAAGACATGTGTGCGTGCCAACTACGTATCTGTTGGTATGAAAGAAGCCGCTGATTGGTCGCATGAGATATAAACAATAGGCTAAGCGAATAATGGTTCATGATGCAGGTACCATGGATGCTTTCCAGGAATAGATACTGTTCATTGCTGGAGGAAAATGAGCGAAGCTTTGTTGATTCCGAGCTTGTTCATTTATATACATGTATTCATTAAATCTGAGTTATTGTTATTGATTTTAGTGAATAAATAAAACGCGGAATCCACCTCCCTTTGTTGATTTTAAGTTTTCTTGAACCAAAGTTTGTTGAATCCGAGTTCCACTGTATATTTTATGTTCTATGAGGTACATGTGTACCAAGTCCATTGTGTGATTCAGGCTAATTTCAGGTACGTTGTATGAGTCGGACATACATACTTCAACATAAATTAAGGACTACCTTGACAGACAGCCCTAATTATAATAAAAATAAGGGGGGGGGGACCGCAAGGAATGTTTTAAATTTTTTTGCTCTGAAAGTGTTAATGGGTTACCAATACGTACTGCAAAGCTTCCTAAAGGGGCAAAAAAGGACCACGTAATCCTTGGGGAATTTTAGCCAAATTTGCTGTTTTTATCGACTTGTGTACAACACCAACGACCTTCCTCAGTTAACATTTCTGGTGCACGTGATAAATGGACGTATGGTCTCAAAATGATCCAGTGGCGTGAGGTGATGGTGCTGCCTCAGGCGGACAATGACAGAGTATGACATTGCCAGCCTTCTGGCAACTTCTTGGGCTCCAACTCCATCCTCCAGTCATGCCATAGCTCTGGCACCATCAAAGTCTCTCAGCTTTCGTCTTGGTGGTATGTTGATGCTATACCGGATTTTGCGCAAACGGTGGCTTACATTGCCACCAAAGTAAGCGCAGTTGGAGACGGTACGTCCGTTTATGACGTGCACCAGAAATTTTAACCGAGGAAAGTCCTTGGTGTCTCACACAAGTCCATAAAAAACAGCAAATTTGGCTAAAATTCCCCGAGGATTTCCGTGCTGCACGGGGTGGTTTTGGTCCTTTAGGAGGATTTGCAGTACGCGTTGGTAACCCATTAACACTTTCAGAGCAAAGATTTTGAAACCCTCCTTGCTGTCTTTTTTTCGGATATTAAAAAATAATTAGGACTGTCTGTCAAAGTGGTCCTTAACTTTTATTGAAGTCTGTATGTTGAAGTCTGTATTTCAGGTATGTTGTATGAGTAACTCATGTTTCAGGTACGTTGCATGAATCAGACTATCTCATGTATGTTGTATGAGTAACTTAATATGTTTCAGGTACGATACATGAATCAGACATATCTCAGGTATGTTGTATGAGTAACTTAATATGTTTCAGGTACGATACATGAATCAGACGTATATCAGGTATGTTGTATGAGTAACTTATGTTTCAGGTACGTTAGATAAATGAGACTTATCTCAGGTATGTTGTATGAGTAACTTATGTTTTAGGTACGTTACATAAATCAGTCTTATCTCAGGTATGTTGTGTGAGTTAGAGAAATCTCAGATATGCCAAATGAGTCAGAAACATAGGGGGCTCTCTTTTTTTAAAAAAAAAGGTCCCGGGTTTGAAACCTGACTGCGATGGGAAAATGTTATTCTCTAAAGATTTCTCCTTTCATCTATCCTGACTGAGTCATTATTTTGGTTCTTAGGGAGTTTTTCTTTCGGTGCGTTTTGTGGACCCATTACTTTTTTCACATCCATTAAAAAAAAAAATTAAATAGAAATGAACTAAGGTTCTTTGTGCGTTGTGACTGAATAAAAAGTTTTTTGTTTTTTTGTGTTTTATTTTTCTTTTGCAGGTGATAGCCCATTTACATGCAATAAGTGAAGTGCCCCTAGAAGACATTGAGGACTTTGTGCAAGTAGTTTTACAGCATGTCCAAGAAGATTTAGGAGAGTAGTTAAGATCTATGAAAGGCCTTGATGATTATGTAACAGGCGGAACATTTAATTTTTCTTTACGCTATTGCTCATTGGTTGAATGTATGCCCATCACTTTATAACATTTAAACCTATTTTGCTCTATATCTTTTGTATGGCAATTGTTCATGGAAAATTACCCCCCTCCCTTCCACCCTCTCATTGTTGTTGTATAACTTGAAGAGTAAAGTTTTTTTTAGAGGACAGCCTTCCTTACAAGTTCACTATACAATGCAGTAAACAGTACGTACAGTTAACAAAATGCTGGATGAAAATGAATGAAGTATAAATTTAAAAAACAAATCCACAACCTGAGGCAGGTGGATTATCATAGTTATGAACAGAAGCTGGTGGTAAGCCCAAGTATGGGGCCATCGTGATCGCATATGATTTGGACTAGTGATTAATTTCACTATTGTCTTTGACCCCCCCCCCCCTTTTTACCACTTCTTTCATGTCTTTACCTAGACTTTTTCCCATGGCTGGAATTATACCTCAGTTAAGACAGTAACAAAAGAACAAAATTCTGGTCAAACTGTAATAAGATACAACTCGTGTACTTAACAGAATGAGCACTGATAGTTCATAGAGGACAACTAATTTGACCACCAGCTTTATTGGTCCTATTATAAGCCTGCTTAATCTGTTCTTGTCTTCAGGCCTCATTGTTTTAAATTAATCTTTTTTTAATTCTTAGAAGTCTTGAACTAATAATATATTCATGTATTCTTTTTCGTTAAACCCCTTGATAAGCAAAATTTTATTGCAAAGAAACTTGGTTAGGAACCCCTGCTAGGTACAATGCTCATGTCTAGTAACTTTTGTAATCAGTGACATATGTTGATAATTGCCTCCTGTGATACTTATTTCCGGAGTTACTGTGATATTCTCAAATAGTAAATATGTAAGTGTACTTTCATCAGATGTTAATAACCTATAATACGTAAGTTACCTTCTCAAATCGCAATATGTTTGTGTCCTTTTTATCAGTTCTTAAAAATCAAGAAAGTATGCCATCTTTTCAAATGGTAAATATGCTGGTCTACTTTTATCAGATGCCGAAACATGATGATAAACAAATAACATTTGATGATTAAGTTTTTTTCATTTACGAGAATGACAGGCTGCTAGCCACCCAGTGATCCATGGCTTTTTTTTTTTTTTACTGTTATGTTATCTTACAGTTGCAGCTCATCACTCTGTGATTGCTAAAGAATATGAAGAACTGTGATATTCTTGATTAATTTTATGAGTGGTCTCAATTAATTTTTAGGTGATTACTTGACAGATATAGATCTAGTATTTCTGGAAAAGAAGAAAACAAATAAAACATTTTTTTTGGTCTTTCAAATTTCTTGTCTTTTTGTATATTTTGTTTTGTTTTGTTATTAATATTTGTTTGGGTTTTTTTGTGGGTTTTTTTTTTTTGGGGGGGGGGGGGTGGGGGTGGGAGGGTATGGGAAGTTTCTGATTAGAAATTTGTGATCTTTTCTTTGCTGACTTTGATGTTGTATAAGGGCGAAACTTAAGCGGTTGAAGATCGACGCGGACAGGCGCCAGTAGGTGTCTGCCTGACTCCACATAGAGGGCGCCTAAAGCCTAGATCTAGATATAAGAAAAGAATTACACCACAACACAGCTGGTATTTATGAAGCATTTATTTGGGGATTTAAAAAAACTCGGAATTCCTAAAATATTGCTGAAATTGTAATTCTGCTTTGTTGCTCCCATAATTTGACGACGCTGATTAAAAAAAAAAAATGTAATTAGTGTTTGTCCACGGTGAAGTAGGCACTTCAGCGAACGGGCTCACTACTGCGTGATTCGGCTTCTGAAAGTCCCATTGGGTTTTTTGTTTCCGGACATGACGTCTCATAGCGACAGTAGGTTCAAAATGCCCATATTTTTGTTTAATTTAAGGGACCAACATTCAAGTCCGATGGATGTCTTTATAGACCTTTGGATGGCCTTCAAAACGGTTTTTTTTTCAGGTCAATGTACGTCTAATGAGTCTCGAGATATTTCACGTTGAAAAATAGACAATTTTTAACCATTGGTCTTTGATAAATTTTCTCCTCATTTTTTTTTTCAAACTACCCTTGTTGATAAACCATTCTTTGTTCCTCCAGAAAACGTTTAAATGTTTATCGTAGAAGTCTTAATTTAGCTAGTGAACTTTTACCCTTTTATCAACCAAATCCGCGAAAACCTATCTGGACCCTTCCACCGTGACATCAGTGACATCGCGTGCGCCGTGACGTCATGCATTTTGCGCATTGAGCTTTTGGCTTCCTCTCTTCATTGTTTGAAATGTACAAGGCAGAGAAATACATCCCTGAGATATTTTTAAACTTAGTTTGAAAAGTTAATCAATTTTGTTGAGGTTTTATAATCACTGACCTTACTGTGTGCCTTATTTCATTTGATAGTATTTAAAAAATGAGACTTTTCAGACCCAAGTATTTCCTTTTCACTGAGCTCCCCCCTCCCTCCTTTATTCCCCTGCCCAAAGCCTTTCATTGCGTAGGTCCTAGAATCTAGATCTAGTCTAGTAGATCTATGAAGAGTCCGGATTCGTGTTGTTAGCACTGTCAAAATTAAATTGAGGCACCCATTAAAGTATCATATGCTATTATTTGCTTTATAAAGTTTCTTAGGTCTATTGTTAGTACCGATCCAGGTTTTCTTTCTTTTTTGTCGCTGCGTCGAGGGGAGGTGCAGGTTTCGGCGTCTGTGATAGATATGTTAATTAGTTATGTTGTTCCGGGACCTTTTTAACACCATCCAGTCAGGTCTTTCTTAGTCTTCCTCTTGATTTAAAGCCGGATTCGCGGGTGTGGTAAACTCTAGCCGTTAGTTGTTTCTGGGGCATTCTGGTCAGATGTCTGAACCATTTGACTCTTTGACGCTCTAATAAATTTACTACTGGTAGACGTATGGTCTCGTTCCTTATGCGATCTCCTCTGGTGCCGTTGGTGGTTTTGCGGAGACACCTAATTTCGCGTGCATTGATTTTCCTTTCTCATGCCTTGTTTGGAGACCATGTTTGGCACTGGTATGTTAATGTTCGTATGAAGATTCTATTGATGAGCTGGGTTTTCACTTCAGTTGGGATGTTCTCGTGACTGAGAAGGGGTGCTAGCTGGTAGGTCACCGCATTTGCCTTCATAGTTCTCGTTTCTTTTTCTTTGACCATACGCCCATCTTGTATGAAGATGTTTCCCAAATATTTAAATTCCTCTACTTGTTGGAGTTTTGTTCCGTCAATAAGGATATTGCGTTTCCCTGGAATTCTTCTTGGCTTCATATCTTCTGTTTTTGAAATTGAGATTTTCATGTTTAAGTGTTTACATTCCTCATTAATTAGTTTTGTGGTGTGTTTTTGTGATTCCCCTTCATCCGTATTTAATGTACTCTGGTCATCAGCAAATAGAAGCTCGTTTAGTTCCTTGATGTTGTCATTTGCTGCTTTCGTGATCTTATCCATGTAATGTAAATGATGAAGAGCGGCGGAGACAGAACACACTCTTGTCTCACCCCAGACCTGATGGGGAAACAGTCTGTTTGTCCTTCTGTTGATCTTACGGCGCGTAGGCTGTTTTTATAAAGTGCCATGATGTTCTCCAGCAATTGTCCTGTTACACCATATTCTTCTAAGACTTCCCAAAGTTGACATCTATTTACTCTGTCGAACGCCTTTTCGTGGTCCACGAAGACAATATTGAGGTCTTGTCATGTCCAATGGGAGTCTCACACAACTATCCTAATGTAAAAAGCGTCAGTACATCCCCTGCCTTTTCTTAAGCCAAACTGGGATTCATTGCGTTGAGTCTCTACAGTTGGTCTCATTCTCATTTCCAGTATATTGGCAAACGTTATACTCACATGGCTGAGAAGGGGTGTTCCTTTGTAGGCTCCACTGTCTCTTTTGTTTCCTTCCTTTTTCCAAAACGGTACAATGACAGCTCGTTGCCAGTCATCGGGAGTTGTTTTTGTCGCCCAGGCCAGATTAAATATCCCCCATAGCCAGAGTTCTCCGATATGGCCGCATAGTTTGATCGCTTCTGCTGTGATGTTCCAACGCCTATCGCTTTGTTTGTGGGGCTTTTCTTTATAACATGTTGTGTTTCACTCAGCAGTATTGATGGTTCTGGAGTGGTTTCTTTCAGTGAGAAGCTGTTTGGTGTTGTTTCTCCTGTAGGATTCGGCAGCTCCTGGAAATAGCGTTTCCATCTCTCCTTAATCTTTGGCTTTCTGAAAATAGGGTTTCTGTTCTCATCATTGACTCTTTCAGTTGGGTTGAATGGTTCTTCCCGTATCCTCATGCTTTGTTTGTTTGTTTGTTTGTTTGTTTGTTTAGTATATAGTTTTACGGCGCTCGCAACTGCATAAGGCCATGTGAGCGAGCGGGAAACACCTAATACTTTTTCGTTGGTAGGAAATTTTGAATTTTGCCCGGGTGGCGGCCGAAGCCTACTCTTATCGATTTTAGACCACCAAGGGATCTTTAACGTGCGCAACTTGCACACGGGCCCTCCGACATTTTTCGCCCTTTCTCATGCTTTTAGCTCTCTTGTAAAACTCTCAAGGGTCTTCTTTACATTTTGTTACCATCTGTTCTTCACAGGGGCGGCTCGTTGGGGAAAAAAGTGGGCGTGCACAATTAAGCAACAGCAGGTTGAAGATAGTCAAGGGCATAGTAAATGGGATGGTAGGATCTTTGGGTTCGTGAAGGAGGACCTTAGGCTTTTATGTTCATTCGTTTTACTGGTCGCTTTGATTTCTAGAACTAAATGTGTTTGTTAGCTTAACATCAATTTCTTTATCTTGCATTGGAACTGAACGCTCGAGTAATAAAGTTCACCACTCCACTACAAAACCATTCAAAGGCACAACTCATAAGGCGGTAAGTATGTCACGTTCCCCTCCCTCAGGTTCACGGTCACAGAGTCGCTTAAAATAGTCAAGACAATGAACCAATCACAATTCACTTGAGCACTCCGCTGGATTGCTCCGGGATCACGTAATTTTGGAATTGAATAGCGTACAGGCTATCGTGTTTATTTTTAGACTGCCTACAGTGAGCTATGTTTCGTGGGTGCATATTTGAGATGTGCCGTCTTGTTAATATTAATGTACCGCCAAACTCGCTACGAGAGTCGTCATCGCTTGGGTTATCCCAAAGAGCGATTTATTGGTCAGATAGCCACTGTTGAATATTCTATTACGCTTAGATAAAGCACGTGGACTTTGGCATGGCATAGTCGATGTTTTTCGGCGCTTTTGAAACAGAAATGACAGCTACAGAGCCAGCGAGAACCTTGTTTTGATATTATTTTTGGCTAGTGTTTGTTTCTGACTTCATTTATTTCATGTTTGTGGGTACTTTTCGTAATAGAACATTAACAAATTTTGGGCGGCACTGCACGACCGTGCTCTATGGACGAACCGCGCCTGTCTATATTCTAAAACGCCTTTGTTCAACTAGAGACAGAAGGAAATACATTACTCTTTTGTTTTTGTTCTGTCCTGAGCACCTATCACTAAACAGTCATATGTTTTAATTTCATCTCTGTGAGAGAGAACTGAAATGTGATTCAGACAAGTTGCAGCTTCATTACAACCCCGACGATGAGAGAATCCAGGCCAAATATTATATGATATAACTGCAATTGCTCAGGTTAAGAATTCCGCTATTATACGTCCATAACTGCTGCATAGAAAATATCCCAACTTGTAATTATCATCGATGTCGGAAAGTCTTACTGAAAGCCGAATACAAAGCCTGCACTTTTGTGATCTTCTTTTTTCTCTTTTGTTATCCCATAAAGCATTTTGGGTATTCAACAGTTTTGGACTTCATTTTCCCCTTTCAATATTATTTTTCAGTGTTGTCAGATGTTTCATTGATTGAAATGTTCAACCTGTCCCAGATTGTACCTAGGCCTATTACATTGTATTATGAGGTGACCCGAAAAAAAGATTATACAGCCAGTATTATTTAACGAAAGGTCTCATTGACCTATTGTGTGAACAATACATTCTTCTTATTTGCAGTCGCTGATTCATCTAGCATATCATAACGAAATGACATAAGATATATGGTTTCTTAAACGTTTTCATCATTGATCATATCGATAGGCATCCTTATCTTGTTAGTTGTCCCATTAATATATCAGAACCATCAGTTGTAAACGTTTAATCTTGAGGCAGATCATTCAT